ATAATTCATCATCTTCCAAACTTTGATAATTATAATATGAAATAACAGAGCATAGACTATGAATAATGTCTCTTTTAGTGCAAAACAAAGAAAAAATAATTAATAGGAAAAGAGAATAGATTTATATATGTGTTTGAGGATCGCTTGATAATAAATAGAAACTAAAATAAAGGTGATCCTGCAAGAGTGATTAGCTTTGAAAATATAATTAGAGTAAAGTGGAACTATTCAATTAATCCAAAAACATTCAAAACCTTTCTTAAAAGCTTTACTTTAGAGACTAATAATAATAAGGAATTATTGAAATATTATGCGGATTTTGAAATGTTAATAGCCTTAAAAAAAATATTACAGAAATTTGTTTAACAAAGTTCTCTTGAAGATGAATATGAAACTTAGCAGGTATTGGGAGAGGGTAGTTATGCTGTAGTATTTCAATTGAAAAACATTTTCACTGGATAGCAATATGCGGGAAAGTGTATAGAGAAAAAAAAACTTGATAAAATTGATAAAGGGTTAAAAGCAGTGATGAATGAGATAGAAATTATGAGAATTTTAAGTCCACACGCTTAAATAGTTAATTTGCATGAAGTTTATGATGGTGTAAATAGTATTAATTTAGTGTTGGATTTATGTTCTGGGGAAAATTTGTAAGCAGAATTAACAAAACGCAATTTAATTCTAGAAGATTCAGAAATTAAAATTGTAATTACTATCAATTATTTCAGATTATGCATCACCTTTTATTAGCTGTTGACTATATTCATAGCAAAGGAGTCATGCATAGAGATTTAAAACCTGAAAACATTCTATTTTAGAAACCATAAGATTTTACAACCTTAAAGATAGGCGATTTCGGACTTGCCGCAATATAAACTGATACTCCTTATCTTTATCCTAAATGTGGTACTCCAGGATTTGTTGCTCCAGAAAGTAATTTCTATGTTTTAATTAGAGTAAAGTTGCCAATTTAGTTGAAAAAGATAAAGAATATAGTAGAATCTGCGATATCTTTAGTTGTGGAGCAATTTTTCATTTGCTTTTATTTGGAGAAGGAGTATTTCCCGGTAAAGGACATTTGGAATTACTTAAACTAAATAAAGAATGCAATATCAATCCAGATGATAAGAGATATGATATATTAACAATTGAGCAAAAAGATCTATTGTAAGAATAAATAAAATTATAAGATTTAAAATGCTTAAGACTAATCCTGATCATCGTCCTTTTGCCAAAGACTTACTAAATCATCCATATTTTACTAATTAGAAATTAAATGCTGTTGGAATATTCAGCATGAATGTGATAAAATTCGAAGACGATAATACTTTAGTTATGTAGGATTAAATCCACTCTCCAACAAAAATTGGATTAGAAAAAAGATTTTCATTTTTATAAATGAGTAATGAAAGAAACACTCCTATGAAAATTATATGATAAACATTATACTGTTCATTTGTAAATCATCTCGTTTAGATAATTATTTATTATATTCAATTTATTATAAGTGAATTTGGCCTTAAATCATGGAATCTTTAGCTCAATAAATTAAGGGATTGTAATAGAAGAATCAAGAGCTTTCTTAATTAGAAAATAGACTGGTTTAGTTAAAATAATAGTTAAAATTACAAGAATCGAATAATCATATAATATAATAGAAAGTTAACAAAATATTGGAAACTAAGGAAAGCACATATTAAGATCAGAGAGATGTAAATATTATTTGTAATTGTAGTTATTAAAATAACTTGAATATTCTCAAAGCCACAAAGATGCGAATTATAATCGTATTCGTTTAATGAAGCAATAATAAGTGGATGAAACAATGAAATTAAAATAATAATTATCAGACGATAAACTAATGAGAACTCTTACATAAAAACAAAACTCACAGATTCTTTAATATCAACTCAAAAAATTAAAAGATCAGGAGTTATATAATAAGCAATAGTAATTTAACAAGGTAACTTTTGTAGAAGAGTTTATTTTAGATTTCAGAATGGGAATTTTAAATGAAATAGGATCTAGAATATAAGAAAAATGAAAAAATTGAAAAAATAAGAGGAGAATAATTATAATATAAAGCTTAATTGTCTTAAAAGCTAGATTAATAATAAAAATATTATCAAAAACTATATGATGAAGAATAATAATTGTTGAGGTAATTTTGACTTATAAACAAGTTAGCAAATTACACAACTCGTAATCAATTGCTTAAAATTTAAAATAAGACTTAAGTTAAGCTTAAAGCCTTAGTATAAAATTTTATAACAATTCATTGACTACTATCTCCTCCTCTATCAAATCATATAGTGTACCAAAATTAACAAAGAAATAATTAGAAAGTCCTTATGCTCAAATACCTGCAATTCTTAAAATTAAAATCAATAAGTAATTTTAAATTTAATAGTAGAGAAAAATCTTATGGAGGTAGCGAAAACTTCTTTCCTTGCATTGAAAAACCCAGCCATTAAGAACAATAAAAATATATGGAAAGACTGTATTAATCTAAAAATTAACTTCCGCTGAATTAACAACATGAATATCAAGTTTAGAAAACAGGGATTCAATAATTTAAATAAACAAGTCAATCTCATTTTGAATCCTAAAGTCATAATCATAATAGCAATAGAACGAAGTTTTTGAGTTCAACTTAA